CGGGGCTTGGCTTGTCCCTATCATCCCCTTCATGCTCCAATACAGCAAAGCAATAATAACAATAATGATGGCGATGATACCCGTCTGTATTGAGTTCTTGCTGTGTGTCAGTCATGGCTCAGTTTCCCCAAGGATTTTTCATGATTAGCTCTTTTAATCCTTACAGCAGTCCCAGGAGACAGGAACTCTCATCTTCCTGTGGGCTTCCTGTGGGCGTGAACATCATTGGTCCCATGTCACCTCTGCTCTCGGCACTCACCCCCTCCCTCCCTCACGCTGCCCCCCTGACTATTCTTAGAACAAACGAGGAACAGCTCACCTTGGGGCCTTTGCCTGGCTGTCCCGTCTGCCTGGACACTTCCCTAGGTGTCACCTGTCTCCTCCCCTTTCTCCAGGCCCCTGCTGGCCACCGCCACCCCCAGCGTCCCCTGACCCACTGCTCGACATTTTTATGTCGCTGACTGTCACTACCCTCTTGAAGGCATGGCCATGATCTGGTCTCATCAGATCCAGCTTCCAGGGCAGCGTGTGCTTTATAGAGAAAGAATTGAGCTGTAAGTGGCGTTAGGCAACTTGCCCGCGTCTGTGCACAGCTGAACCTGGACGTGAACCCAGGCAGCCCACGGCTCCCATTCTGAACCAGCTGAGGCAGGAGGCCTGACCCTCGTCCAGCTCCTGGTAGAACTGACATGGGGAAGTAGCTCTGTTGGCTGAGAACAACAGGCTAATTAATACAATCAGTGATGAATTCAGTGTGAATGATGTAAATGTGTCCTTGATAGTTTGTGGCACTGGCTGTTCTCCCAACGTGGACCTCGTTCCCTAGGGAGCCACGTGGCCCGCTCCATGACCTTCAGTTCGCTACTGAGAAGCCAGCTCCTCACAAAGGTGCGCCCTGACCTTTTATTTACAATCTCTGTGCCACCTCACCTCAATACTCTGTGCCCCTTTCCAGCTGGATTTTTCTCTGCAAATGTTTGCTGAAGAAATGAATAATTATAAATATATAATGAGTATAAGGATGAATAAATTAATAATCAATAGTGCATCGTGATTCTTTTGTTGGAAGTCATATATGCCAGTAGCCAGCATGCACTGGGCAGTTTCACACACTCTTCTGTGGATTGTTCAATTTCACCATCACAACAAATCTGTGAGATTGGACCCATTTTCCAGGTGAGGAGCCGTAGGCACAGAGGGAGGAAGTGTCTTTCCTAAGGTGCCGTGGCTGGTCAGCGGTGGAGCCTGGACATGAATTCTGGCTTTCTAGCTCCTGAACCTGAACTCTCAGCCCCTCTGGGTCTCTGTCTCGTCCCCTTCTCTAGTGACACGGCCATGGACCCGTCAGCCGGCCTGTGGGTGTGTGGGCAGGTGCTAGAGCTGGAGATGGAGGACCGGATGACAGCTGACCAGTGGTGTGGCAAGTTCGATGCCAGCTGTGAGTGTGCCTACCTGAGGTGGGCTCTCCTGTCCTCCCTGGGATCAGCTTCTTCTAGAAGATGAGGCCAACCGCATCCTGCCCACTGGCCTCTTCCACCTGCCCGGAAGCTGTAAGGCCCTGGAGTCAGGGAAAGTTAGAAGGCTGGGGTGCCTTGCCCTTGGGTGAGACAGATGGTCAGGCCTCAGGAAGGACTTTTCTCCCCGGCCAGTCATCGAAGATTTAACTCACAAGACAGGGAACTTCAAACAGTTCAACATCTTCTGTTGCATGCTGGAGTCGGCCCTCACGCAGGTAGGGACCAGGGTGGGGGCAGGGGGAGGTGTCTGTCCCCCGGATTCCTTGGGGGTAGCTGGCCGTCCGCTGTCTGCAAGACCCTTTGCCTTCTCTGTCACTGAGGGGGCGGGGCTATCTTTTTCTTCTTTCCCAAATGTGAATGGCTTCTTCTGATTCTGAGCGTTATTCTTATGTATTAAAGTCAAGTCACAGAGAAATCAATGTAAAGAAGAAAGGAAAAGTCACTCACTCCTAATACTCATTCCTGGCGACGTTTTGGTGGAAATCACTCCGGTCATTTCTCCATTCTCTATGCCCGTGGGAAGGTGCATGTGCGCATTTGCAGACCTAGAATTATGTGTAGTCGTTGTATTTCCCAAGGTATCCTTCGACCTGTTTTTAAAAGATTCAACAATATTTCATAACAATTTAGTTATGTCAGGGAATATAGCCAATCATTTATTGCATTTCCTGAGCATCTTCAGTGTGCCAGGCACTTTTGTTACCGCTGGGGATACAGCAGTGAATGAAAGAGACAAAATCTCTATCTTCATGTAGGTGACATTCTAGTGGGAGAGAAAGATATTTTAAGAAGTATCTAATGCCAAGTAGTTACAAGTATTGATAGAACGAGAAAAATCCGATTGGAACTTAGAGTGACAGGGATGTTCTTTAGATGCCATTGTTGCATTATGTCTCTAATGACAGATGAAACATGCGCTCGTGTCACTGTAGCAGGAATCATATGTGACTTAGAATCTGAGTCCCTAAGCACCGCCTTTCTGTGTCCCACCCGACTGTTAGCATTGAGAATCTGTAGGCATAATAGCATAATGGCCAAGAGCACGCACTCTGAATTCAGACTCATCGCTGCCACGAGCTGGGAGCTGGGGCCAGTGACTTTCCCTCTGTGCCTGAGCGTCCCTTTCGGTCATGTGTGGGTGACAGCAGTCTGCATTTTGTAGTGTTGTAAAGATTAAATGAGTTATGTGTTAAAAGCTTAGAATAATGCCTGGCTCATAGTACGTGCTATGCAGGTATTGTCTGTTATTATTGTTGTTGTTGTTGTTGTCGTCAACTTTTTGGGTTTGTCATCCTCATCAGCAATCGTTTTGTATTGCGTCGTACCCACGCCTCATTACTTCTCTAACCCAGTGGTTCTCAAGGCTTTTTTTTTTTTTTTACGCCCACAGCACCTGGTCTTCCTAGGTGGTCTCCCATCGAAGTACTAACCAGGCCCGACCCTGCTTAGCTTCCGAGATCAGACGGGATCGAGCACGTTCAGGGTGGCATGGCTGTAGACCCAAAATTTTTTATCTCAAAATCTCTTTCTACTCTGAACGATTATTAAAGACACCAAAAAACTTTCTTTATGTGGGATTTATCTATCCATAGTTGTTTGCCGTATTAGAAATTCAGAGAAATTTAAAGATATCTATGAATTCATTTAAAAATAACAGTAATAAACCTATTCCATGTTAATCTCAATCACATTTTTATGAAAAATATATTTTCTAAAACAAATTAGGAAGAAATGTAACGTTGTTTTACATTTTTGCAAATCTCTTTACTGTCTGGCTTCATGGAAAACTGCTAGATTCACACATGTTCTCCTACATTTAATCTATTCTATGTTTTGGTTGAAGTATATGCAGAAAAATCTGCCTCACGTAGTTATGTATGAGGAGAGGAAGCCCTTTAATAACTTTTTCGGATAATCGTGCATATCCTTCTTTGCTAACACACAAGAAATTGGACAGGTGATAGTTCTTTAAAGGCCGGTCGCGGTGTAGAATCTGAAACCACATCAGTGAACGTCGTATACTGTTAACGCTAAGGTCTACTGCTGCATCTCGCACGTCGCCTGGATCTTTGACCCATTTTGTGACATCACCTGTGAGCTGTACTGACCTTCCAAATGTCGACGCATTTCATTATACAACATCAGGAAGTCACATTTGTTAACATCCTCAAAGACCTCGCCGGGAAGGTCTTTGAACATTGAGAGGCTGTCAGGCACACGCTGGCAGATCGTTTTCCGAAATCGCAATTTTCGCTTTGACGTTTGAATTTTATCATCAGCAACAAATCCCGTTAGCTGTTTTTCTTGATGTGACAGGCTCACTGTTCATTTTTGAGAAAATGCCTTCTAGGCACCCAAGTCTGAATAACCCTAGTTTTGTTTGTCAGTCATTCTTTCAAGTAAAAGTAGCGTTCCATGAAAACGTGGCGAGCTTAGCTTCAAACTCGATGGCACAGGTGCTTTCTCTGAGACGATAGTCACGCTTTGGTGAGCAGCAGGACACACGCTTCCCGTTTTGTCACAAAGTAGTACTGAGCTGTGTACGCAAGGGTTGAGGTTCTGTAAAATTAACGATTTCACAGTGTCATCAAGACCATTCCCAGGTTTCATTTCCTGCGTTTCGTCTGTCTGTCTGCCTGTCTGTCTATCATCTGTTTATTTACTTGTTTGCTTCTCCCTCCTGGCTCGCCACTGAGACTGCGTGGCAGTGGAGAATACGATGACCACTAGCACATTCGATGCCACCAGCTGAATTTCTGCTCACGGGCCAGTGTATCTACCTGTTACTTTGGCACCATTAGTGCAAATGTCAATACAGCAAAAAAGACAAATGACATCTTAATATTATTCAACAAATTGTTTTGAATTCTTGGACATTCTGAAAGGGGCTCAGGGACCCCAAGGGGGTTGCAGACAACACTTGGAGAGCTATAGTCCTAAGCCGTCCCCAGTGGTCGAGCATTTAGGTTCTTTTCAGTTTCTCCCTGATGACGTCCTCGTGCCAGCACCTTGGACAGGGCCATCTTGCTCATCAGCCTCAGTGTGGGACGGGCCAGCTAGCCCAGAGCACCACCCGGTGCCGCCTAGGCTTGTGCGGGAGTGGCCTGGGCTTGTGGGGGTGTGGCCTGGGCTTGTTGGGGTGTGGTCTGGGCTTGGTGTATAGCCTGGGCTCGTGGGGGTGCGGCCTGGGCTGTGTGGGGGTGTGGCCTGTTTTTTGGGTGTGGTCTGGGCTTGGTGTATAGCCTGGGCTCGTAGGGGTGCGGCCTGGACTTGTGGGGGTGTGGCCTGGGCTTGCGGGGCGTGGCCTGAGCTTGTGGGGGCATGGCCTGGGCTTGAGGGGGCGTGGCCTCGGCGTGTGGGGTGTGGCCTGGGTTTGGGGATTGTGTGCTCTGGGTCTGGTCGCAGCTCCTCCCATCCTCTCACCACAGAGCGGCGAGTGGGTCTCCCTTGACTTGCTGACCTACACAGATCTGGAGGCCCTGCGGAACCGCGAGATGGGGGCCCGCCCAGGCCCCTTGGCCTCGAAATCCGCCCAGCTCAACTCCAAGCGCTGCCTGGTCCTCATCTGCTCTGTGGAGTGTGACAGGTGCGTCGAGGGGCTGACTCCAGGCTGACACTGGTGGCAGGCAAGATAGGATGTGGTTAGACCTCAGGAGTCCCAGGTCCCCAGGGCCAGGCGGGAACGTCGTTTCAGTCTTTGGAATCTTCAGTGTGGAGGTTCCTATCATTTAATACTGTGTTTGGTGAGAAGTAGCACAATAGCCATTACTAGTGCCTTAAACAATAGTGTATCGCTTAACAAGGTGTCTAGGGAGGTGGTGGCAACTCAATAATTGCATTAGGAACGCGGTCTCCTGTTTCGTTATGTTTTTTTCATCATCCTTAATGTGTTGGATTTTCACTTCATCCTTATCT